GTCTTTCACGTTCTTTAATAATCAGTCGCTAAATTATAATAACCGTCTATTGACATTATAAATTTCCACTTTCTAAAGATACATAATAAATTTTATGTAAGAATATTTAGTCTTATTAAATTTATTGCTAAATTAATAAAAATGCATTTGACCAAATTTAAATCCTGAGAGTTTATTTCGAAATAATACGAAAATTCCAAAATTTCGTTTTAATTTTAACGTCTGGTCGGAGCTGCAAAAAACATCTGCGTCTACGTGTTAATGCTTCAATTGAGATTTTCAGTTTGTGGCATTTATGATTAAATTTTACTAACGAAATATTATATTTAGATTTATTTCTTTTCTTTTTGCTGTTTTTTGTCACGAGGTTGAATCATTCCAGAATTTATGTAGATACTGAGTGGCAAGCAATTTTTATGAATTTTATGAATAGCAGAATTTTATGAATAGGAGTGTGAAAGTTTGACATGTGTTCCGCTGTCCTGCCGATTGAAGAAAACAGTCTGTTGTGACGCTAATGCTATTCTTCCCGGGAATACTTTATACTGAGGTTCAATCGTCTTTTCGTAAGTGCATATTTGAAATTCTGACAAGGTCTAAGTAATCTTTGTAGCCTCTAATCAAATTAACACTTTGCACGCCAGAGATGACTTTCGGTCAACGCTTGCTTTGATGTGGTAATTCGAGAGGTGACTTTCGATCACCATTTGGTTTGAGGCGATAATTCAAGCGGGAACGATGTCTATTTAGGTTTGGTTTGGACAATATCGCTTCATGAGTGTATTCAAAAATACATACGTATAAAAGAACTGCCAATATTTACTCTTAAATACTTTTTTTAGATTTATTGTTATATATGCGACTCTACAAGTCGTGGCAATAGGAATGTTTTTTTCTTAGTTACGGAGTCTAGTAAGTGTGAATTCCCCCCCCCCCCCAATGGCAGATTGTGAACAGTTACAATTTTGTAACAGAGTCCATTAATCTATTCTAAGGCCAGATGTGGTGGTCTCTTTACTATGGAGGTATCTAATAAGTGGGCAACAATTGCTTCCAATGAAGGGAAGGACAGTTACAACCATGCATTCTCCGCGATTCAAACCTAGGCCCTTCGGTACCGCAGTCAGGCTTCCCTAACCAGTATACCGTCTGGGCGGCACGTAAATGCGAATTACCATGAAGAAATCAGTTCAAGTGAAGATGAGGTTGATTTTTCGTTGCTGAAGAATGAAATTACTTCGATACATAGACTACTTAATTTTTATCAATAAATACAAAGATTCGAAAGCTGGTTTCAGCTACATTACTTTGAATATATTCGAAATTATTAGTATATTTGTTAATATATTTTCGGGAGCAAGCTGAATAAAAAGACAAAGTCTCATATTTCTGTTAAAACTGTTTTTAATTGCCTTAAATGACAATGGAAATGTATGAAAAAAGAAGTTTTTTTACACATTTTACTTTTTACAGCACCGACACATTTCAAAAGTTAAACTGCTCTGAGCGCTTGTCAAGCTCGAGTAGACAGGTCTCATTTATCATGTTTGCTGTATTGAATTTCATGAGTGATCAAATACTGTGAAGGGGACGCGTGATTTGTTTCGAAACTGCATTGAAGCAACGTGTCAAATTTCGACAATGTTGCAGGTATTCTCTACACTCTGTTGGAGATTTAAGACTGCATCGCGTAGTTTGTAAATATTTTCCTTTCGTTGGCTTCTATCAGCAAGATCTTCTAAAATGATTTGACGCATGCAATTGCATAATCAATATTAACTGTGATCAAGTTTGTGATAAAACTTAAAAAAATAAGAACCTGAAGCATAAAAAATCAAATTTCTGTTATTTCTTTTGCATGTCAATGATTTAATACTACGAAATACTACGAAATATGACTTATTTATGTAAATATGGACAAATTTGCAATAATTTTTCAATAAAGTCTGTTATGAGTGCATTCAATCTAAACTTTAACATGCTTTCTTCATTCTTTGAAAATACTATCTAAATTTTAGCTGTAAGGAATAAATGCATATCGCAACCACATTATGTATAAAATGTAAAATTTTATATTTTGCATTTGCTTGTATCACGATTGCAATGAATCATAACGAAAATAATTTCGTTGCAAATGCGATTAGTTTACTTTTTTGCATCATTGTTTGTTACTTTATATCTTTATTCGATATTTAATTTAGATTATTTTTACTTTAGTTCTGATTGTTATGTAACCGGATTTTATTTACTATTTGTATTATGCTTAGAAAATTAAATAATGAGCTTGAACCTTGATGACCTAGGAATTATCCGTTACTTTTATCTGAAATAAATAAATGGTATAATATTTGTGAGGATGCTAGAAAACCAACTTGAAGTTTATACTGTTTAGTTGAGAAGCTTATTTCAAACTTACAAATAGTTTTTGGACCAATTGGATTACTTTTAAAATATATGAAAACTTACATAAATAAATTGGGCATATGTCTTAGAGGCAACTACAAATGCTTGAAGAAATGACAACATTCGAAATCAAATCCAAATTAGGCCATTTACACTAACAGCAGCAAATTAACCCATCTGAAGATCTATACGGACTGTAAACATAACAAATATGTGGCAAACATTAATTGCTATTTTATCAGAAGACTTTAAGAAGACATCAGCAGTATTATACTTAATGCTTCTCAGTAGATATCAAACTTGCCTACGAGTTATTATATATGCAATATAAACTAAATTTAACAACTGCGATATAAATTAAGTTTAATAATATAATAATTTATGTTTATGCAACGTAAACTGTATGCAATATACACTAAATTTAATAAAACAACGTTCATAAATTGTTCATATCCAAAAAACATTTTTAGTGCTATACAAATATTACGTTTAACGATGACCCTTTAACGAAAGCACATCTATTTGGCAACATTTTTTCCTTTTATGGAAAAAGCAGTAAAAAAAAAAAAAATTCTTAGCCAATATATGACTACCAAATTACATAAAGATAAACTGGTATTCAAAAAACAGCCTCAGTGTTAACATGAGAAATACTTTTTTCCCTGCTCTTGAACAGCTAAGCACACAATAGGTAATTCAGCATAACTGGAAATGTTATGTTTTGACTGACTCGAAATGAAGATGAAACTAAGCAATTCTGTTATGTTAATAACTAAAAGGCTATAGTAAACTTGAAGTATCCATTCAACTACATTTTCTCTAAACTGACTGAAAAATTTAGCAGCATAACAGTATATGTTTAGAATTCCCGATGCAGGTTAAGTATTGGCCTACATTTTTTTTTTCTATTTTTTCAGTCTTTTCTAAATTTATCATATCAATGTTCAAATTTCTTAGTAAGACGGCTTACAAAACATTTTTGGGTCTTTTATTATTAATTTTTTATGTGTTAACTTTATTTATTAAATATCCCGTTCTTCGCACTTAAACCACATAGATTTCAGTTCAATAGCCAAATCACAAAATATTTAAGAGCAGCATATCCGATAAAATTCTTGCTCGCTGGAGATAAAAACGTTTTTATTTCGAACAGTGTTACCACTGCTCGCTTTCAAATCATTGACTTTGCTAATAAACATTTCATTAAAGGTTTACAAACTATGAAATAAATAATAAATAAAATAAGTTCGAACTTCAAAATTTGAGTTTCCAGATGCACAATTTTGGGTTGAGGACTATGTTACTCAAAACTTGATGGCTCTAGGTACCGTCGTTTTTCCATAATGCGAGGAACATATATGCAGATTCTTTGTTATTTCAGTTTAAAAAAAATAACAGAGATAGATAATATTTGGTTGCGACGATTTAAAGAGTGATACGCGGTTTACAGTGAACGAAAAATACTATTTCGAGACTAATAACCACTTTTGGGCTACAAAATCGTAATTTCTTTTTATTATTTTCTAATTTATATTGTAACTCTTCGATTATTTTTCTCATTTAAATAATGCGAAATCTTCTTTATTAGAATTTGTACGAAAACAAAATACAAAGAAATTCTTCTCTAAAACCCAAATCCAAAAAGCAAGATTCAAAATCCCCCCCCCCCCAAAAAAAATAGGAATGTGAAAAACTATAATTTTGATCAACATAAATTTTCCATTCATTTTCATGGAATTCGCTCTGTCATCTACTTGATTTGAAAACTTATTCTTGTGCAATGATAATGAAAAATAGTAACTTCGAACTTGTGCAAAAAATGACTGAATTATTGACCCTATTTTAACTGATTTATAAATTTAAAATTATGTAATACAGTTATGTAAATATTTAGATACTCGCTAATTATATGCATCACTATTTGAATCGAAGAAATAAATTTTTTTCTTAAATATAAATGCTTGTCAAACAAAATGTTTCACAAAATTGTTAGCGTAGGCCTAAGCCCCTAAAATATTGCAAACTTTCACGATTATTCCCTGAGATCTTCCAGAGAATTTTTTCAGCGAGAAAAATTCTTCTTTGCTTAGAAGTAACCTGTTTTACTTCATAGCAGGCAATAAATTTATCATAATATTTAATGCTTAGTACAATTATAAAACTTAATATGCTTAAAAGGAATAAACGAATCTTTGATAGTGGGATTTTTAGACGTAAAAGGGCACATTTACATCCAGTGTGATATTTAACACATTATCCATAACAATAATAATTTCCCCAAACAACTATTATTATGCTAAAACTATGCTTTGATTCTTTAAAGAGGATCAATAAATTATGAACTTGAGTTTTATAATCTAAGGACACAACCCCTCGATAAAAATTGATGTAATAAATCCTACAGGAAGTAAACAGAGGTTAGCAATTCTTAGGTCTTAAAATCTCTCATCTTTTCTTGCGGTCTTACATGACCTGGACAACTACGCGTCAATTACGCATCAACATCAGAGCCAGTGATGCGATCGAGATATGTGAGATATAAAACAATCACTCCCATTTTTCAATCATGTCGATTATTGCCAATAATTTGGACTCACCTTCCGGTCTTCGTAATAATCATTTCGGTGCCCAAACCGTGAAATTTCTCCCATAGGTCTTTTGTCTCTAGGTGAGCTTCAATCGCTTTCAGTTCTTCGCAGTTGCATTTGCCTACTATGGGCAAAGGTTTGTCAGCCTTGTCCTTCTTTTTGTCTGATTTGGTCCTCACGGGCTTTTGCTGTTCAATGCTGTCCACGCTGTCCTTGCTGGACAAATCAAAATTATCTTCCGATATTTTAGTCGATTGTTTGTCGATGTCGTCATCTGGTAAAGGAGTCGTGTCCGTGTCGGATGGGGTAAGTTCTGGAGAAGTTAAACATCTTTGTCCGGATGGCGAGAGTAAAGAAACTGGACTCACCGGGCTTCTTGATGTCCTCTCTACCAGTTTTGCTGCAAGAAAGAGAAAATACTGTTAAAAATATATATCTCACTAAGTCACTGTTAAGAATATATTTCTCACTCACTGAAAATCGTTAATTTAGATTTTTTATACAAGTTATATAAAACAGTGAAAATAGTCAAGAAAGAAAATGACTTGAAAAACCTATACTCCCTTATTATTAAAATTCTATTTTACTTATTCAAAATAATTTTAAACAAATTAATAAATTAAAGTAAATATCTAAAATTAATCAAATTTCACTGTTAAGCAGTCACAAATATATTTGGTAAATCACTTAAAAATGAAAGAAAATTTGAGGTAAAGTTAGAAGGTATTGATCTCATATGACACTCACTCATAATTTCCAAGATAAAACTTTTGAATGTTGGTCCATAAATATTTAGATATACAATACAATTATTTGAGGAGGGAATTGTTATTAATATTCGATATTAGATCGATATCTTTCATGAACATAGAAATTAAATTCATACGAACTCATTAAATCTGTAATAACTTTGTCTGTCTGTAGTAGTGTTGCGTAGATATGTTAACTGTAACTGTGTTCCTTAAATTTCTGATTTTGGATGAAGTTTTTTAAGTTTAATAAAATGATTATTCAAACCTATACAGATAATTTACTTCCAGAAAATACTGGTCAAAATACAAAACAACAGTCAAAATGATAAAAAACAACATACAAAACGTTCATGATAAACCAAACAACGTTACCATACTGCTATATTTCTTCATCAAGCGTTCGATATATGCATCGTACAGCTAATGAGAAAATTAAAAGGGATATTGATCATTAAAATTATTGATATTTCCATTAAACTATTTTCCTTTACAGCTTTTACTCGTCAGATCAAATAAACATAAATCTTTTGTTATTTTTTTCTTAATAACAGAAGTGTTTTCTTTTTCCTCTCACGATTTTAAACTGCTTTACAGAGAACTGTTACCTTGATATCCTGATCTCAGAGAACTGTTTATCCAAATTTACATATTACTTATCTTCCCTTGGATCTTTCTTTAGCTTACATCATTTCGATAAAGGTTCTAGAGTTACAAAAATATCAAACGAAAAGTTTCTACAGAAAACAAACCCATCACACCTTCATTCCCATAAGTCCTCTCACCAAGAACGAGAATTTCCAGTCTCGGAGTGGTGTAAAGAAGTACGTGTGTCGACTTCGTTAGTGCTACGAAACCCATAAATTCCAGTCTATAACCGATGCTTTTCATCTTCATATAATCGAAATCCTCTACATGTGGGTCCCCATGCAAATCGACCGGCAAGACTCTTGCTGTGCGCTGTCAGACGCACATGCAACTATCTGGATGCATTCATCATGCAAATGCACGAATGGATGCAGCTTCGAATGAGGAATGAGCCAGTACAGTAGTTTGTCACATTATTAAATCAACCAACTGAAATCTATCTCAGCTTCGGTGCTTGAACACGTCTGGAACGAGGAAATGAGAAGTTAAAGAGTTTAGAATATTTCCCCGTGTTTAGTTTTCGGCTATTTCGTAAATGCAAAATCACAGCAGCAAGATTCATAGAAACTAGTTTTTTAGTATTAAGTATTACTACCAGAAGGAAATATATGTAGACTACAAAGGATTGTCAATAACAAATGAAACAGGTTTATTTTTACAGTCTTATTGGAGTTGATAATTAAGTAAATCCATCATAATAATAAATTGCTATTGTTGCAAGTGATAAAAAGAAGGAAAACAATAAATTAATTTTGCAAATTAACACAATTATATAATAAATAGTGCTGCAATACAACTTCGTGACGTGCATTTTCCCCTCCTAACCTTAATTTGCTAACTAATAAGGAAGGTGCTGCCATATAGAATTTAACAGTAATAACAATAAATTTACTAATATATCCCTCCGTTAAATATACAAAGGCACATGTTCTCCGGTTGAAAATATAAATATTTTATGTTTTTAGCTAAACGATAAGCTTGGTGTGTGTTTAAACTAAAATAAACATATTATAGAAAAACTCAAAAACAAGCTTATTGTAGTATATAGTATAATTAAATCTAAAATAAATCAGATATATATTTAGTGGATTTACAAGTTATTAAGACTGAATTTTTGAACTTATAATGAAGCGTGGAGCCCCGGTGGCGCAGGGGATAGCGCATCGAGTAGCAGCACCACAGGTTCGGAATTCGATCCTCGGGCTGGACAAGGTTGACTCGACCTTTCGTTCGACTTCGACCCTTGAATGGGACGATAAAATGAGTACCAAGTTCGCTTGAAAATTTAACACCGGAGGTCCTGCGACAAACTAACCACTTGTCCAGGATATCTGCTCATGGCTCCTCGGGGCCACGGCCAACTGAAAAACTCCAAAATTCCGAAAGTTACGCTGGGGTCCACTGTCAAGAAAGCAGATATTAGGGCCCTGCAGACATGGTTCTAAGGGCTTTTGCGCCATTGAACTTTTTTAAATTATGAAGTTGGTAACTTGTATCATTAATTACTAAAACGTTTCAGTCGGCTTGTATTAAAATATTGTTGCTTGTGGAAAGAAAAGAAAAATGTAACTTGAAATTGGTGTTATAAATTTAGTAACAGAACCACAAGGAAAGCTTTCTTTGCACATTGCAGTTATCGTCAAGTGGCTTATCGCAACAATTAGTTAGAAGAGTGTTGCAAAATTCTATTAAGTAATCCAGAAGAGCTTTGAATATACCAAGAGATGTATAGCATCAGAAAGAATGTATGTAGAAGGCCTAGAAAATGATTTCCTTAGGTACCATTTTACGATTTCAGTTCTAAAATTTTGAAGACGCACTGCCTTCATAGTTATCTAAACATTTACTTACCTTTAAACAGTATTACATAATTTAAATATGAAATAATATACGTAAATTTTTACACGAATATAAATAACTCCCTTTTAGAAGTGATTATAATGTTATTTTCATCAACCGTCTTTTTTAAAGAAAAATTTAGTTTTGAATTTAGAACTAAAATTATTGTAAAATTTATTTGTGCCATAACTCGAAATTTCATCATTTAAATGACTTGGATATGGGCTTAATCCACTTTATAAAGTTGAAATAAAAAAATAGAAAAAGAAAGAAAAGAAAAGGAAAACTGCATTTAATACTGAATATAAAGAAAATTGGCAATATAACAATTATTAAGATTTTATTGTATCTCATTGTATTTCCATTGTATTTTATTGTATTTTCATTCTTAGGTTTGGTTTGGTTTAATTCATTACGGCAAAACACACAGGGCTATCTGCCTAAGGGGAGGGATGTCTTCGGGCAGGACTTTCTAGGTGAAACTGACTCATATATACTTTACACATCTATTTATTTATCACCAATGAGCAGCCTTCTGACCTAAAGTGTATTACCAAACAGAATAGTGTCTGCTCTGAGATAATCCAGCAGCCACCACCACACCAGGACAGGGCTAACACATCTAACGACACTTTTTTTTACACGTTACATATGAGGAAAACCACGAAAACGCCCATGCTGGGCCTATTTCTATTCTTAATTATGAGTTAAACTCAGAACTTTGTGTGTTAGTTTGAATAGAAATCGGTAATATAGAAGACAGGAATACACGCAGAAAACCTTTACAGCGAGGATTAATTCGAGGAAATTGTGTTTATTCATGCCATTATCCAAATTTTTACCACTTAAGCAATTCAAACGTATGTTCACTGCTCCCTTCCTGAATTGGATATCTAATGGCAAATTTTAAACTTGTTCAAAAATTCAAAAATCTTGTTCAAAAATATTCAAAAATTGATGTCTGTGTTGGATCGGTTCATGGATTTTGAATGTAGTATACTGCTTGACTTCCAAAAGTCATTATTATCAACATAACTTCATTTTTTAATGAATCGGTTGCTCTTACAACCATTGCATTGGAGAGAATTATTGAAGTACTCAAATACTAGCTGCCTAAGTAAACCAAAAAGGGCTACAGTCGAAAGCAAGCGTCGCGGCACGAAAATGTAACGCAGGAAACAACGCAAGGGGGAAACACCGTGATATAAAAGCATCGTATAAGAAAATAAAGCAAAGAGAAACAAAATCGGGGTACTAAACTTCGTGGTATAAAACAAAATCCTAGGAAAAAAAAAAGCTGTTCAACTTCCCCAGTCTTAAAATATGTCTTAAACTAAGTCTTAAAATATCATAAGAAGCGCCTAGAAATCATTGCATGATGATGATATCACAGACAAAGTAAAAGACTTAAATAACTTAAAAAATTTAAATGCATGTTCACATAATGATTTGTGAGTGAAAGGAAGAATGAGAAACATTTTTAACTCTATAATTCAGATTTTTGAATTAATTAATAGTTTTTGCTGAGAAAGAAAGAAGGAAGCTGAAATTGAGAAGAAAATTAATACTGCGTTTAACAGTTAATAGAATTTGAAATTTATATAGTCAACAAATAAAGTTCATTACTTAATTAATCATATTTGTACAGTTGGAATAGTAGTAATTGTTTTTAAAAAGTTGGCTTAGTAGTACAAACATGCATTAAAAACTTTTTGAGTCAGAAACTTCAGAAAATCCATTACCTGCAACGTTTTTATCACTGCGATGATTTATAGATGATTTATTTTGTACCACGATGTTTCAAAACTGTGAAGTAATTTTGAATCATTTTGTTTTCTAAGATGTTGTTTTGTACCGTGATGTATAAACTGGGATGTTTTTTCCTTGCTTTCCCACGATGTTTTTCGTGAGACGACTTTTCCTTGCGTTGTTTTATCTGCGACCTTTTCGTCTACGATAATTTTCGGACACCGGAAAGGTAACCTTCGTGAGTTATTTGTAATTAAAACTGGCTCATATTTATACTGCATATAGAAGCTCAGAAATCCTTGCAATTCGAAATTATTATAGTTTTGAAAAACGAGATATTCATTATAAGGAGAACACAAATGTAATTTAACAAATAGGCAAAGAAAATGACACCACTAAATTCATCCAAATATGCTCACTCTGCAAATAAGAAAAGATTAAAGGCAATCATTAATAGTCACCCAGTGTGAAAAATTATGGTTAAAGATTATGTGAAATGGCCAACTTTGCCGGTTGATATAAAATTTTAAAAAATTAACTTTAAAGAACGTATATTAAATCTCAAAAACTAGCTTTTTAAATAATAAAATTCTCAATTTTTATAATTTTGAAAATTAAAACATTTCTATAGTTCTTAGACAAGCTGTCTTATAAACTGCAAATATTGTCAAGAAAAATAGTTCTCGGAAGCTCTGAACTTCTTTCTTATTCTATAATTCACTCAAACTGTGTGAATTCATCACGTGTAATCTTGGATGAAGGCCAAGAAAACTTATCTGAAAAATTATCTAGTCTTCAAGTTTGTAACAGAAGCTTTAGAAAATTGATTTTTTACCCCGCAAAAAATGCTTTATCTCCGAAATGGCAATCAATTTCTTCCTCCCTTAATTGCAATTATCTTCACCGAAAGATGCCGGCCTTTCATTTTGCTTATGACGGCCTGCCCAATATCTCCCACTCGAAGTAACTCTCATTTGTTTTCATAAAACGGGAACTGCGGAAGCGTAAACATTTTGCGCAATAAATTTTCAATCGTTAAAATTCCGCTCAAGTTTTTCTGTCTACTTCTCAATTCATTTAATGGAACGGGTTACATAAAATTTACCTTCGACGCATTTCAAGTATATATCGCCAAATTTTCTCAACGATTTAATAACGTAAAATGCATTTGCCTGTTAACATTGAATCGAGGTACATTATGAAGCCTTGTTTTATAAGGGTCTTACTGCAAGTAAGGATTGTTCTTCATTTGCAGTTGCTCTACATTTCCTGAAATGCCCATTAGTAATAAAAGAAAAGTATTTCTCGGTTATAATTCCAAATGATCCTGCTACTTTGTAATACAAGCTCTATTTCTCTGAACAGGCAGCTTTAAATATATGGGTTCATTTTAAGTTGCAAATCCATATATGTCTTATATGCATGTGTACGGTTTTAAAGGCATGTGTACGGCATGTGTACGGTTTCTTCATTTTGAATAATTTTAAATCTCATAAAAATATGAGAAATGAATGATACTGAATTTATGCACGCTATTGGAAGTTTTGCTAAAACATGCTTGCTGTAATCTCGACAATAAACAGAACTAATTTTATCTTTCTAGACCTCAGCTACCGGTGTTTCAAATTTCAATCCTTCCAAGAAAACCATTATCATACAGAATGAAAACACAGTGTCGTTACGTAGTTACCGTCGTTACGTAGTTACATGTCGTGATATTATTACTAATTAAAATATCATAGCTTATGAAATTGATCTCTAATATTAAGTGGAACTCCCATCAAAAGATTTGTAGAGAATTTATTTAATGATTGTAAGGTATTGCCCCCACAGTTCCCATGCTTCTACATTAAGAAGGCACATTTTATAACGATACAGCACCAAAAGAATTAATTTCATCTTTCAAGTAATGGACTATTTCCTATGATTTTAGTTCAAGCAAAGAAACAAATAAATATAAAACTGTTTCTGCTATCCAGTTTGTCCACATATTATTGTACTTTTGCTAATTAAAAGCTCATATGCTGAAAAAATAACCTAAAATAATATACAAAATTCACATTCAATGAAAACCTTCATTAAGGATTGCAAGATAATGCACCCGAAGCTTGCGTACATCTTAACATAAATATTACATTTGTTGCAATCTTTTTCTGGTAATTGAAGCATGCCGAAATAAAGGAAAATACCAAAACAAAATAAAAAGTTCTCGTGTGCTCTTTAGATCTTTGTAATAAGCTGAAACAATTTGCATTTAGGACAACGATGGTGCCTGGGGAAGCAAAAAGGCAGAAATACTATATAATTACATTATATTCTTCATTCTGTATAATTCAGACATTTCAATTTAATAACTTGTTTTTTCATAATCGAAGACATGATGTAACACAAAGAAAGATATATTTGTTTGCTTTCCAATTTTTGTCATTATGCTCGAAGATTTCCATCTTAGAAAAATATTGCCGCCAAAATTAGCGATAAACCACAAACAGTGGCGCCATTACGCATTTTAAAAGTGGCGTCGATGTGGGGGAACACGACCAATGGCACGTCTTCTTAATTAATCTTAATCGTTGAAATTTTATACAATTTGCCCATCAATTAGGCCTCTCCGCGCAGACAGCATAAATTATGCCTGAAAGCATTGCTGCAATTTCTTCTTTGTATTAATTTGAGTCATTGTTCTAACGCCATTTCTGCTTGGGTCTTTAAGAAAAGAGATAGCCTAGTACTTAAACTAACTACCTCAAGAAGGAGAAAAAAATTATCCTAAAAAATCAGAAACGAAAATGCTAAGTAAATCTTAAGCATCGTAGTAATTATCTAAGTTGTTCTACCACACTACGTGATGTACGAAATATGTCACACAGTT